GTGTGTGGGAGTCATCTGGGGTGGTTGAGGTTGTACAGGTGTGTTGTGACCTGTGCCAGAAGTGTAAAATAATTTGGTTTTGTGTGTTAGGTTCTTATGTTTGTTTTTTGTTTAGTGTGTAGTGTTCTTGAGGGTAACTTTGTTTTGTCAAGTGTTAGAATAATGAAGGTTCTAACTGCATCTACAAAAAAGTGGTGATTTTTTTTATAGATATGAAGACTATTTTTGATTTGTGTTAACTGTTTATCATAGTGTCACACCATAAAATGTCTTTAAAATATTAAGTTTTTGTAATAATTGATTTTTTTTTTTGGTGCAAGGGGGAGTTCTCGGTGTCTAGTGACTATAACAGTGACTTACTTAAAGGCAGGTACAGTATTTCGCAGTGCAATACTTTTAATGGTGTACAAAGAGCTTCTGTAAAGTTTAGAGGTGTTGAAAATATGATGGTTGAAGGTCAGTTAGTCTTTTGAGTCTCAGTATTTAGGAAGCTTAGTTACTAGCGAAACAGCTAAACGTTAGATTTTGATTGTAATGGAGTCTCCAGTATTTTCTTACATTCAAATGGTAGAATTTAGACTAAATACTCATGTGTGTATATATATATATATATATATATATATATATATATATATATATATATATATATATATATATATATATATAAAGAAAATAATGACAAGTGCTGGTAAGACTTAGAAAAGTGCTAACTTGAATTTAAGAGTCCGTCAGATAATATCACATCATTTAATGTTAAAAGGTGTGTTGGAGTCAAATACTTCGGGTAAATGTCAGGTCAACTCGTCATCTAGCAGGTGTTTACTGCGTGTTAGTTTAATATCTAATATTCCCTCTGCAGTTGTCTGCCTGCCTACCCGGTGTTGAGTAACGTCACATCATCAGCGTCTGGGTGTCTGGTTGGCTTCATGTTAACGAAAAATGGTTGTGTTACTTAATGCTATGAGTTACAATGGGTGTGGATTGAGTATTAGTTGATGGTGCAGAATAAATGTAATAGTTTTGAGTGTCAGCTGGCGAGTTGAGCATCAGCATAAGTCAGCAGGCAAGTGCTGTCAGCCCTACACTACGCCACAACACCAAGGCATCTTCAAAACAATATAAATCAACTGTGATCTGAATGAACATTAAATGGGAACTTGGACTCTCCACAGTACACAGTAACTTATTGAGCATATGCACATTTACGTCATTCGAGCGTGAAAGATGACATGTGTTTTACACAATGAATGTAACAAAGTTCTATAAAGAATGTAGAGGTGCAGAACAGAAGGGCTACATGGTGATAAGTGTGGACTGACGGGAGGCTGGGGGCGCTCTCGCAGAAGCAAGAAGTCTATCTTAATCTCTGGCTTGTTCAAAATTGCATACATGCATTTGTAATAGTCTACCGCTGAAGAAATGAGGAGCAGGTCCCCCTGTACGGTGTTGACGTGAACCAGCACCCGTGCCTCTCAGTGTCCGCCGCCACCCTGCTACACCTACTGGCCAGGAGCACCAGCACAGTAGTAGCCTCTAAGATACCCATGCATAATAATTTTGTTCTTGGTGGTAGTTCACGTGGCAAAGAAAGTCTATAATATTATCGTCTGGCCGGTGTATAATACATAACAGTGTGACAGACCTCAAAATAGAACTCAAGACGTGGACCAGAAGTACTATGGAGGATGACGTCGCAGTGGTGGTGGGAACTTGTTGGCAGGGAGGGTCAGTTGCTGTCTGTCTTACTCCTGTGACTGTGTGTGTGTGCGTGGGCTCTGTCTTCTCCCCTATCCTCACTAATACATTTTATTAACCCAAAATAAATTATTTTGATTTATATTAGCATTATGGGAAACGTGGTTAAGGTTCGGCTTCATATATTACCTTGGCTATCGTTACCTCCCAAGTCTGATCTTATCCAGTTGCGAATATCTGATAAGGTGATGATTCTTGCTAAGATTGAGTTGATCATCAGGAAAACCAATATCCAGACCCTCAAGTATTAAAATCTAATCAAAGGAAAAACTTGATAAAATACAGCATATATTCTAAAAAAAAAAAAAAAATCCTAAGTGTACCCTGAACGTTTTCTATAGTATACAATACTTGTGCGAAACCAACCTATGGTTGGCTATTAGGCAACAATGTATAAGAGTGGTTTAAGGAAGTTGAATATTTAATGTTCAAATAATATTTAATATTGATAAAGTATTCTCAATGGATATTTGTCAACCAATTCTCATTATTTTATACTAGATAAAAGATGAGTAGTTATATTAAACCTTAAAATATCCGGGGGCAAAATCTGATTTACGTAATATCTATTGAAGCCATTCAAGTTTTAAGTTAATCGTTAGCGCAGGAATTTAGTGATTGAATGCATCGTTTTCCTTCCATTCGATAAATTCCAAGCGAGAGTGAATGCAAATCGGTGAACATTATTTTGACGCCATACTGTATGATAATTAACTTAAAACTCCACCCGTGTTCAGGTATACAACTCCTACATCCCAGAGCAACACACAGAAGCAGCTGACGCAAGGAATGCATTTGATTTATTTTATGAATGAGTCGTGAATGTCTGTGGGTGGGTAGATATGAGGCGCTGAAGGACAGAAGACAAGCGAGGTACATGTGTGGTATGGTTGTCTCAGGGTGGTGGTGAAGCGGCCTGAGCCTCCCTGCCACCACCACCACCAACATCGGGAGGAGGGGGGGGGGAGGGGCACCGCCACCTGCAATTACTACTACTGTACTTTAATATTTGTAACAAATGCTTATTCACGTTCTATAACACGAAAATTTGAAATATTTTTCATCTTCCAAGAATAAACATCTTCCTATGGTGACTTTTAGGTTACAGTAATTACTCGTATGACAGGTGACTCACACAGTACCGTGACACAACCTCCTGGTGGTGTAGGAGTGCTGCAGGTGCCGGCATCATCCCGCCCCACCTTCACCGTCACCAGGTCACGTTTCATCAGGTAGGTTCATGAAATAAAATAGGTTTTTCTATACTCGATAAAGAGCTATAAAAACCGCACAGGTTGTAACCACTCTCTCAAAACACTGCTATTTTAAAGTGTTTTCCACTGACTCGGTGCCATCCAGAACACCTGGTTACTGCCCTTGTTAGCCGAGCAGCTCAGTTTCGGGTGTGTGAGGTGATGGCTCTGGGCTGTCACCCATTAACAGTTTACCTCTCATACACCTGACAACAGAAGGCTGAGGACGCTAGACGGCAGCCAGCAGGATTCTGGACAACCAAGGAATTTGTGGGATCATGTACACCCTTCAGTGAAAAAATATGATGTGGAAAGCTCTCACACACGTATTGAACAATAATGACTGTAACAATTCATAAACAACATCTCAGTTAAGTTACAATGAGTTTTAAGTTCAGTACACTCATGAGAGAAGGAGAACCTCTACATAGTTATTTATTTACCAACAATATACATAATGACTCACTTGTTAACATTCAGAAAAATACCAACAACTGTAAACGAATAATACAGAATGGTTCCACTCAATATTAGAAAGATCATTGTCAAGAAGCCTAGTTACCTGAACAACTTTACGCTACATAAAGTCCAGATTATATAGACATACCTTTGACAAATATCTTTGTATATTGCCCATCTTTATACTCTTGATTTACCTAATTATAATACACAAACAAGCTATATCTGTATGCCATTTAAATCATTTCATATAGTTTATAAATATCTGTGAAATTATGTGTAGAAAAATTACCATGTAAAACTATGGAGTGGCAATTGCATATAGCTCGTTTTCTTTTTCGTCTCAAAATCATTAGGGGGTAAAATGAGCCAACTATATATATATATATATATATATATATATATATATATATATATATATATATATATATATATATATATATATATATATATATATATAGCTCAATTTTGCCTCCTTGTCTCATGAAGTGTCCAAACTAAGAGTATTTTTCTCACCCCTCAACCTCCGGGAAATAGCTTCTCTTAACACTGTGGGTTTTGTAGTTATTTGAGCTTAAGATTAATATTAATCATATCACAATTCTCCCTTTTATTACTAGTAACGATAAGAACTTCCATACCTTTGCTGGAATAAACAGAAAAGGTTCACACACCCTTTTAACGTCTTGCCCTGGCGAGTTGCTCTGGGCGAATATGGGGGCAGTGAGTTGTCCTTTTCGAATAAAATTTTAGCATTTATTATTATTATTTTTTAAATAAAGCACCAGAGGAACAAAATGTTTTAGTCTGCTCTAAGGTGATGACAGTATTACCATCGCATGGGACTAGAAAGCGCATAAAAAGGTCCTTGAGATTTCCCCCAACACAGCTCTCGCAGTTTTCCTCTCCTTGTAGGTCATTTGAGAATTGTTTCTGATCAGTTCCGCAGAGTTACACAGAACACACTTCACCGGCCCTGCCCTGGTTATCTCAAAAGTTTGTCAGGTACGGAAATATTTTTGTCATCACCCCAAGTCAGTATTTGACACGAAGTTGAGACGCAGGGCGAGTCTCTTTAGTGTATATACTGTATATATATATATATATATATATATATATATATATATATATATATATATATATATATATATATATATATATATATATATATATACCTTGATAAAATCACACGGAAAAAGGGAAACAACGGAGCACCTTAGCTTTCGTCTTTATTCAAGACATCTTCAGAGGCTCCGTTGTTTCCCTTTTCCCGTGTGATTTTATCAAGATTTATCTTATTAACGTTTTCATTGTGGATCTACATGAAATATATATATACATAAATATGCATATACATAAATACTATATATATATATATATATATATATATATATATATATATATATATATATATATATATATATATATATATATATATACACACACACACACACACATATATATATATATATATATATATATATATATATATATATATATATATATATATATATATATATATATATATATATAATAATAATAATAATAATAATAATAATAATAACAGTAATTTCTTATTTTTGTCTTAATTTTATGAAGTGACACTGAGCTTGTTGAGGCCAGTGGCGAGTGTCCCATGCGACGAGCACACTGGCTGGTGATGGTGCGAATAGCAAAGTTTAACAGACACGGAAGGCGGCGCTGGCTGGCTGCTTGGCTGACTGTCTGGCGGAATGGCTTGTAGGCGCACAAAGCTGGTAAATCCTAGGTTTTATCACGTTGGCGTCGCCGCTACAGAACTACAGTAATTACTTTACACTAGAACCTACAGTGACCAACGGCTTCGCAGGCGGCAGTTTGAGAGAAGATCAAGTTACGAATATTGTATTTAAATACCAAGTAGTATCAATTTGTATGTATCAGAAGTTTAAACTCTCCATTATCAACTTGAATGACATGGACGAAAGGTTTGAGCGACAACGATCTAAACATTGTTAATATTCTCGTTTGGGGATTACGATGCTCATTTGTTTTAGCGGGAGAAGAGGCTAGGGAGATGCTGACCTGCGATGTCGAGGGCCACAGCTACGCACGATACTTGCATCAATACTGCTGGGGGGGGGGGGGGGCGGACTCACCGACAAACCCACCATTAAAAATTGCCCAATTTTGCTGCTTCTAAGGCTCCACTGTTCTATTAATTCATCAAATAAGGTCTGATCAACACGTTTCTCATCGAGTTATTTATTGCCATATCTTACACACTGCACAACTCTTGGGATCACAACCTCCACGTCACCTATGACTTAACAATACATCTAATTTAGACACCTTACTTATTTTTTATTTTATTTTATTTTTTTTTCAATTAAGAGCCAAATGAAGGTAGAGGTTACGTCACTACACATACTGGTGATCCCGCGCCGTCTTGACTTGTGTTGATTCACCTGACCAGGCGCGGCCCCTCACTGGCCACGAACACACCAAGGAGTCCCACTTTCGCTGGTTTATGTAGTCTTCTGAGATGGCTTGACAAACTCCCCGGGTGGCTTGACGAACTCACAAGCTAAAGCCACACACATGGATGCCTTGACGAATTCTCCGCCTTTAGCCACACTCTTAGGCGGTTTGATGAACTCCCCGACTAAAGCCACACACATACACACATGCGTGGCTTGACGCCCTCTGTAGCCAAGTACTTCTTGGGTACCTCTTCACTGTGCTCCACCGTGGCCTCCTATACACGCTATCTTAACACACACACGTCACATTCACTGGATCACGTTACATTCTGGCTTGTTATACACCCGATTTGCCATACACGCTGGCTTACCATACACTCTAGCCTACCTAACACTTCAGTTTGCTCCACACCTGGCTTGTCTTACACCCGGTTTGCCTTACACTCTGGGTTGCCATTCATTCTGGCTTGCCTTATACTCTGGCTTGCTATAAACTCTAATTTTTCACGCTGGACTGCCACTCAATCTTGCCATATAATCATCTCGTCTCTTCTGAGATGCCACGCTTTCTGGAGTACAATACTATTCTCTAATCTGCCATACTCGTAGGACTTGCCATATTCACCGTTTTGCCATTGACTCTGGCTCACCACACTATTCCAAATTGTTACACTACGCCAAACTATACTTTTATATCATGTCATGATGTCTTTGCCATCCTGTATTCTGCCATTCTCTGTCACACACTATGGTTGCCACCCTGTCAAGGTTGCCAAAAGCTTTCGTCTCACATACTTCTTTCGTTGCCAAATAACTTGCTACTCCACCGGTTCAATATATTCCTATACTTTTTAGGTTGCCATGCAAACTTGCGATACTGACTTGTACTCTCTTTAGTTCCCAAACTAACTTGCCACTCTCCAAGTTTACCATACAATCTCTGTGTCCCTTACCTTATTAACTTGCCACTCTCTCTGGTCTGCCATAACAACTTCCCACTCTCTCTCTCTCTCTGCATCTCTCCAGATCACCAGATTATCTTAGCACCATCTCTGTCTTTCCATACTAGCTAGCCACTCTCTCTCCCTTTCCATGATCATATATAACAAATTCTCGAAGTCTAAGACGACACTACGAGTGAGGGTAGAGGAGGACCAGGGGAGGAAGGAAGAGAAAGAGGAAGAAGAGAAGGAAGAGGCGGAGGTGTTTAGCTGGCGCCTAAGGTCTCCTGCCAGAGGCGTGTATGAAGACTGTATTTGGACGAGCGTACCACAACCTGTGGAAGTAATAACAATGTTAGTATTTGGAGTTTGCTAATATTTTTCTTTCGTGGAGCTAAGTTAATTTGTACAAGTTAATCTTTTCTTAGTTAAGGTAATCTTTTCACTGGAGCTAATTAAACTAAGTTAATATTTTAAGTAGAGTTAAATACTTTAGCTTAGTTTAATTTTTTTAGTTAATTATTTAAAGTAAAGTTAAACACATTAAGTATCTTCTGAGTACGGTAATCTTTTACTCTACATAATCATCTAAATTATTACCATATTTTCATAAACTTTTAATACGTTTTAAAACACACTATTACATCTAAGATAACCCTATAACACGTTGTATGTTAAAATAAATATTTCATAACCTTTTCATTCTCTGATATACCACGAAGAACAAGTAAATATTTATAGTACGAAGAAAGAATAATATGATAAAAAGGAAATATAATGGTTACTGATGGAAAAAAATATATATATATATATATATATATATATATATATATATATATATATATATATATATATATATATATATATATATATATATATATATATATATATATATATATTGGTTATTATGTCAAATGGAGATATAACGTTATTGCTGACGTTATTATATTATCACTGCGCTTCAGCAACTATGGTCTTTAAGGGCGTAACAAGTTTAGTTAATACACTAATCCATACACAATAGAAAATCATGACTGTCAATTTCAAGTATTTTGACATAAGAATCTTCACATCTCGTGTGTGGCTGTTATATAGTTTGAAGAAATGTATGTATTTACACAGACAAACACAAACACACACACGGAGGCACACATAGGTTAGTCAGATATTAACTACAAGGTCATTTTCATTAATTAAGCAGAGGTATACAAAACTGTTTCTCTTCCACTACGTCCAAGAACAAGTTTGTGGCCAGACATTTTCAGTCCACAAGTACAGATGTGAACAAGGTCAAAGGTCATTGTGGAAAGGTCAAAAAGGAAAAGGAACAGCGGTAATTGACGAGTTTTCAGTTTGACTTAGATTCATATGGCTGTAGAGTGTATTTCTTTGTTCAGACAGGTCCTGGCAAAAGACCGACATGGATCTTGTTATATCTGTGTCGTTTAATGGCTTTGGGGGCAATTAGTCCCATATTGGAAGATACAACGTAGATTGAAACTCATTTAACCTAGACTTAAAAAACCCAGGAATATTGTGTTATAGACCTTAGATTAAAAAAAAGAAAAAAAGAAGCATTATACCCTCGAGTGAATCAACGAAACCCTGGATTCAAACCAGTATACCTGACGTATCAAAGCCGTAAACCCTTTGAAATTGTGTACTGTATTGATAATAATATTATTATTAATTTCCTGTAACAGCTATAAGATAAACGATGCCATATATATATATATCAACTCAACAGACTCCGCAGAAAGACTAACAGTTAAGAGGCGGGGTTCCAGTCCTCACTATATCACTAATTATGCGACTAGCCAACCGAGGACAGAAGCATGTAAATACAAAAATAAAACGTGTGGGAAGGAGAACAAAGAAAACGAGGAAGGAAGAAGAGAAGGAGCGGTAGACAGTACAGTACAGTACATACACAGTGAGGGAACCGAGACAAAGGAATAACAGAATGGAAAAACTGTTTATAGGAGAGGACAGGAAAAGAGGAGATGGGGAGCTAAGACTGGTGATGTTATATAAAGAACAGTTCATCATTAACTTAATTTTACTTTACGAAACTTTTCTTGGCACAAAATCAAGAGCAACTAATTAACCCGCAGGGTAAAACTTGACCATACGCAGTTGCCCTGTGTTTATTTTTATTTTCCGGTTTTATTTACGCTAAATTTTCAGGTAAATTCTAAAGCCAGTAACATGGTAAAATATTCAATGTAGGTGGCGACGTGGATAAAATGCAAAAACAACACCGTTTCATGAACCACATCTTGAATCGATGGCGCAGGCTCAGTACAGCATTCGTTTGAGTGAATTCGGGGTGGCTGAGTTTGTCATGGCATACAAAAAAACATCATCAAATTTAAATTTGTTCATACATATATGGTTAGAAAATCATTGTAATATTAAACATAAAATACAAAGTAATAAATGTAGATATGTATACTTTAATAGCTTGTGTTTGTCGTAGCAATACGCAGCCAGTGTTCACCTGTCCGGACGTGGGTGGATCAATAGGCCTCGAGCAGCTCTCCTATTGGTTAGTGAGCCTTTCAAAACAAATGACGACAAATGGCTTCTGTTCTCAGTAAGGGCATATCCAACATCCAAAGATATTTCTAACATGGTCCTTATCTTTTGTAAAAATTAGGGCTGTCTCACTGAAATGGCTATGTGTGATGTCATCACTGCAAGCAACGGTGACAATATAAGTTTCGTTCTCTACGTAAGCAAACGGAGGATAATTTAGTCAACTACTTCCGTATGACGAATACGACTACAGAATATTCTCCAAGAGATGGTCTATAAAAAATGGAACAGATGGACAAAAGAGAACCGGATGTGACCCATCAGAGCAACAATGAGCAAGGAGAGAGCAACACGTGAGTACTTGTTGGACACCTTCACCACGTCCACACTCTACAGCTGTTGTCAGTCACCCCCGCGTGTTTGTTTACTCTCCTTACGCAACAACTGACATTGTTTACTTTTCCATACTCAAAAATCATTTTAGTTTAGCATATGTATGATGATATTTAACATTTAATGTGTATCGTTAATCACCAGGTCTATTATATAGTTAATTAGCTTCACCGATTTTGACACATGACTGGTAGCCAATCAAAACTAAAGGCAAGTGGTCAGAGCAACAATTCCCTGGTCGTTATTTATCTTCAGTAATGTGTAATAATAATTGTAAAAAAAAAAATCTTATATAGCCTATACTTAACAATATCAGTAAATAAAAATCTTCACGATGTGTACAAACTTTATATAAGGCAAGTTTCTACACATTCACAAACTGCTTTACCATGCCAAATTTGGTGCTTGTATCACAATTTGCATGATTCTCTTGAAAAATTGCATTTAGCTGCCCCACTACTTGTTCAGGAGGACTATTGGCAGATATTGAAGGATTTTTTGGCGAAAAATTTTCCTCTTAGAATTGAAAGTTGACATCTTAACCATTTCAGTAGTTTCAGTTGTAGAAAAACAGGAAAAATCAACATTAAAATTTACGAAATGGAATCATTCCAATAAGTATATAATCTTTTATCAAGGGTCATTAGCGCAAGAAATTGCCATAATTTCAACTTTTGGTCCACATAATAGGCATGGTTCCTCCAGCCTTCTCTCACGGGCATATATATATGACAATGTCATAATGAAAAGTATAGTTATATACATATATTTTGACCTATGCAACTTCAAAGGAATCTGTGAACACAAATATCAAGGAACTTTGTAAACACCCTGTAGGTACACCAGCGCTTAGTTGTCAATAAATCGCCCATGACCCCTATTTCACACACCACCACTTTCTTACACACATTTGTTTCCTTTTATCAATAAGTCTCAAACCTCTGCCTCTCACCGTAAGCTGCTCTCTGCTCAACATGCAAACATAGTAGCTCTTAAACTTGCATTAATGTGATGGTAGGAAGGAGACAGGAATGTTCCGCTGGTAATTCGTACTCCCTTCTTCCGTTCTGTTTTCCCATATCTTTACCTCTTTACCTCCTGATTCATCTTTCTTACATATAAGTTGATTAAGAAGAAAATGAAGTTGGAGAAACAAAAGATTATTTTTGTCCAAGATTCTCAAACATTAATTAGTGTAAGACGATGCATTTGATAGTTAATACTGTACTTATTGTTTCCATATATTGAAGCATGAAGCGAAGCACCTGTAAATTAACCAACTCATTATATTTACAAAAGTTAAGTGGCATTAACGTTATCTGCGGAAGGATCACCTCGCTGAAATGTTAAGCCTCACCATGACCAGGAGGAGAATGTGGTGTGGAGGAGGCAGGGCGGCAACACCAATTAGTAGACAGATGTCGCTGGCAGAGGACATACCTAAGTTGACAACTATGAGAGATAGTTTGCCAAGTGTTCCGGAGTCCGTCGAGGCCAGAGGGGTACGCTGCAAATGGACAAAAGTTATAAAGGTGGAATACAAGGAAGAATTACTCACGGGTTAGCTGTTAAGGCCGGAGTTGTTGTGTGGGATGGAGAGAGAACGGTCGAGGAGGTGGGTCTCCTCAGTGGGCGTGTGGTCGGCGAACAGCAAGTCATCGATGTCTCGCAGAGTGGCGGGGCCATTGTTGAGGTCATCGGTGAGGAGGCAGTTCTCCGTGACTGGGCGGGCATTGGAGAGGGCGCTGGTGGGCGTGATGATGGTGGGCGAGGGCGTGGCTGCCACCGGGGTCATGGGTGCACCACACAGGCAGAGCAGCGGCTCGCCCACCTCGTCAGGGGACATGGCCATGGGCGAGGTGGAGGCAGGCTGGTTATACAAACATGGCGCCTTAGAGCAGCGCAGCACCGTGTTGGCGTTACGCTGATCAAGGCTCGCCGCCGTCGAGACCAGATTGAACTCGAGTGAATCTTTTAAGATATTTTCGGGGGTCGCCTCATCCCGCGCCGCCTTCTCCTGCCCCGCAAAATCCGCGAATAGGTCCGCAAGCGGTGCTCTCTGTGGATGTCTCCTCGGCATGGGAGAACGGGGCAGGATGCGGCGCGGGCGGTTGCTGTCCTCCTCTTCGTCCACGCCCACGAACTTGACGGGGAGGGCGTGAGGCTTCCCGCCCGCCCTCGGCCCGATGCCCTTAAGAGTGGGTCTGCCCAGCTTCTCGTGGTCGCCAGGCGGCGGGTCGTAGGTGAGGTCCGGCAGCAGCTGCTCGGTCTCTGGGTCTCGGTGCTTCAGGATGGACTTCCGCCGCTCCGGAGAGCCATGTGACCGCTTCGAGTCCAGCGAGTCTCCGCCTAGCGATGATTTGCTACCGCTGCGACCTGTAACATACCAACCCGCACTCACGCTGCCCACCACAACCACCTCTATACTCTCACATTATACTTAATATAAACAGTATTGTGGTGTATTTAGTTCTAGACTAACTAAAGATATTATTTAAAGAAAAATAACACACATAAACGGTGTAAGAAAGAAAAAAAAGCATGCATGAGAGTCATGGGTGTAGAGGCTCTTGTCATGATGTGGGTCCGTGCGACTGTAAACAGTTTTTAGTCCATCCCCGAACCATCTACTGGGTCATGCTATACCCCGCTGCCCCAAGACCCCTCATACCCCAACCCCATCCCCGGAGCAACTGCTATGTGGGCGTGTGGGCGTAGTTCTGTGTGGGCGTACCTCTATTGGTGATCTTGTTGGGCTTGTCTGCGGCTGAGCCTTCCCTCGCTGCCCGCGCTCTCTCCACGGACTCCAGTAGCCGGCTGAACGGTCTCGGCTTCTCCTGCAACCCACGCCCAGCAACTGTCACTACCATCTACACCACGCTACCACGCTCAGCAACTGTCACTACCATCTACACCACGTCCAGCAACTGTCACTACCATCTACACCACGCTACCACGCTCAGCAACTGTCACTACCATCTACACCACGTCCAGCAACTGTCACTACCATCTACACCACGCCCGCAGCAACCGTCACTACCATCTACACCCGCCGCCAACACGTTCAGCAACCGTCACTACCATCTGTACACCACGTCCAGCAACCGTCACTACCATCTACACCACGCCACCACGCCTTAAAGCAACCGTCACTACCATCTACACGCCACGTCCAGCAACTGTCACTACCATTCACACCACGCCCAGCAACTGTTAATACCATCTACAATTAATGCTCAGCAACCGTTAATACCATCTACACCACGCCCAGCAACCGTCACTACCATCTATACCACGCCAGCCAATGCCCAAAGTAACCGTCACTACCATCTACAATTCACGTCCAGCAACCGTCACTACCATCTACACCACTGCCACCACGCTCAGCAACAGTCACTACCATCTACACCACGCCCAGCAACCGTCACTACCATCTACACCACGCCCAGCAACTGTTACTACCATCTACACCACGCCCAGCAACAACAACAGTCACTACCATCTATACCACGCCCAGCAACTGTTGGCCATTCATCTACCACGCCCAGCAACAGTTACCACCATCTACACCACGCCCAGCAACAGTCACTACCATCTACACCACGCCCAGCAACCGTTACTAATATCTACACCACGCCCAGCAACTGTTACTACCATCTACACCACGCCCAGGGAACTGTCACTACCATCTACACCACACCAGCAACTGTCACTGGATTATGCACACCACGCCCAGCAACCGTCACTACTATGTACACCAGGCCCAGCAACTGTCACGACCACATTCATAAACCACGCCCAGCCACTGTCACCAAATACACCATGCCCGGCAACCGTCACTACCATCTACACCCCTACCCAGCAAATGTCACTTCCATCTACACCAAGGCCAAGCAACCGTCACACCATCTATACCACGCCCAACAACTGCCAATAATATCTACACCACGCCCAGCAACTGCCACTCACCGTCTACACCACTTCTTCCAGCAACCGTCACTACCATCTACACCACGCCCAGCAACTGCCACTACCATCTACACCACGTCCAGCAACCGTCAATACCATCTACACCCACGCCCAGCAACCGTCATCAATACCATCTACACCACGCCCAGCAACTGTTACTACCATCTACACCACGCCCAGCAACCGTCACTACCATCTACATCACACCCAGCAACTGTCACCACCATGTACACCACGCCCAGCAACCGTCACTACCATGTACACCACGCCCACAACCGTCACGACCATTCACACCACGCCCAGCCACCGTCACTACCATGCACAACGCGCTCCAGCAACTGTCACTACCATCCACACCATGCCCAGCAACCGTCACCACCATCTGGCTGACTAATGCCCAGCAACTGGCTACTACCATTCAGTACCACGCCCAGCAACAATCACCACCATCTATACCACGGCCAGCCACCGTCACTACCATCTACACCACGCCCAGCAACTGCCACTACCATCTACACCACGCCCAGCAACCGCCAATTACCATCTACACCACGCCCAGCAACTGCCACTACCACCCAAGCACCACGTCCAGCAACCGTCACCACCATCTACACCACGCCCAGCAACCGTCATCACCACCATCTACACCACGCCCAGCAACTACCACTACCATCTACACCACGCCCAGCAACCGCTACCACCATGTAGCCACCATGCCCAGCAACTGTTACTACCATCTACACCACGCCAAGCACCTGTCACTACCCATCTATACCACGTCCAGCAACCGTCACTACCACCACATCACGCCCAGCAACCCGCCACTCACCATCTACACCACGCCCAGCAACTGCCATCACCATCTGCTACCACGTCCAGCAACCGTCACTACCTGACCACACCACGCGCAGCAACCGCCACTACCATCTACACCACACGCCCAGCAACTGCGTAAACTACCATCTACACCACGTCCAGAAACAGTCACTACCATCTACACCACGTCCAGCAACCGTCACTACCATCTACACCATGCCCAGCAATCCGTTAATACTATCTACAATTCACGCCCAGCAACCGTCACCACCCATCTACACCACGCCCAGCAACTGTCACTACCCATCTACACCACGGCCAGCAACCGCTACTACCATCTACACCATGCCCAGCAACCGTTACTACCATCTACACCACGCCCAGCAACTTTCACTACCATCTACACCACACGCACAACAACCGTCACTACTATCTACACCGCGCCCAGCAAAGGCTACTACCATCTACACCACGCCCAGCAAACAGTCACCACACATCTACACCACGCCCAGCAACCGTCACTACCATCTACATCACACCCAGCAACCGTCACTACCATGTATACCACGCCCAACAACCGTCAACATAAAATACCACGCCCAAAGCAACCGTCACTACCTGACTACACCACGCTCAGCAACTGTCACTACCCATCTACACCGGCCAGCAACTGTTACTACCATCTACACCATGCCCAGCAACTGTTACTACTATCTACACCGCCCAGCAACTTTCACTACCATCTACACCACGCACAACAACTGTCACTACTATCTACACCGCGCCCAGCAGTTATTACTACCATCTACACCACGCCCAGCAACAGTCACTACCATCTACACCACGCCCAGCAACTGTCACTACCATCTACATCACACCCAGCAACTGTCACTACCATGTATACCACGCCCAACAACTGTCACTACCATGTACACCACGCCCAGCAACTGTCACTACCATCTACACGACGCCCAGCAACTGTCACTACCATCTACACCACACCCAGCAATTGTCACGACCATCTACACCACACCCAGCAACTGTCACTACCATCTACACCACGCCCTACAACTGTCACTACCATCTACACCACGCCCAGCATTTTGTCACTACCATCTACACCACACCCAGCAACTGTCACTACCATCTACACCACGCCCAGGAACTGTCACTACCATCTACGCCACGCCCAGCAACTGTCACTACCATCTACACCACGTCCAGCAACAGTCACTTCCATCTACACCACGCCCAGCAACTGTCACTACCATCTACACCGCCCAGCAACTGTCCCACTACCATCTACACCACGCCCAGCAACTGCAGCTTCCATCTACACCACGTCCAGAAACAGTCACTACCATCTACACCACGTCCAGCAACTGTCACTGCCATCTCTACACCATGCCCAGCAACTGTTACTACTATCTACACCACGCCCAGCAACTGTCACTACCCATCTACACCACGCTCAGCAACTGTCACTACCCATCTACACCGGCCAGCAACTGTTACTACCATCACACCATGCCCAGCAACTGTTACTACTATCTACACCGCCCAGCAACTTTTCACTACCATCTACACCACGCACAACAACTGTCACTACTATCTACCACCGCGCCCAGCAGTTATTACTACCATCTACACCACGCCCAGCAACAGTCACTACCATCTACACTACACGCCCAGCAACTGTCACTACCATCTACATCACACCCAGCAACTGTCACTACCATGTATACCACGCCCAACAACTGTCACTACCATGTACACCACGCCCAGCAACTGTCACTACCATCTACACGACGCCCAGCAACTGTCACTACCATCTACACCACACCCAGCAATTGTCACGACCATCTACACCACACCCAGCAACTGTCACTACCATCTACACCACGCCCCTACAACTGTCTACCATCTACACCACGCCCAGCATTTTGTCACTACCATCTACACCACACCCAGCAACTGTCACTACCATCTACACCACGCGCCCAGGAACTGTCACCACCATCTACGCCACGCCCAGCAACTGTCACTACCATCTACACCACGTCCAGCAACAGTCACTTCCATCTACACCACGCCCGGCAACTGTCACTACCATCTACACCGCCCAGCAGCATTCCTACCATCTACACCACGCCCAGCAGCTGTCACAAGCCACCTACACGACGCAGCAACGGTCACTGCCATCACACCACGCGCCCAGCAGCTGTCACTACCATCTACACTACGCCAAGCAGCTGTCACTACCATCTACACCGCCCAGCAACTGTCCACTACCATCTACACCACGCCCAGCAACTGTCACTACCATCTACACCACGCCCAGCAACTGTCACTACCATCTGCACCACGCCAGCAACTGTCACTACCATCTACACCACACCCAGCAACTGTCACTACCATCTACACACCACGCCCAGCAACTGTCACTGCTACCATCTACACCGCGCCCAGCAACTGTCACTAACATCTACCGCCCAGCAACTGTCACTAACATCTACACCACGCCCAGCAACTGTCATTACCATCTACACGCCCAGCAACTGTCATTACCATCTATACCACGCCCAGCAACTGTTACCAATATCACACCACGCCCAGCAAGTGTCACTGCCATCTACTACACCACGCCCGGCAACTGTCACTACCATCTATACCACACCCAGCAACTGTCACTACCATCTACACCACGCCCAGCAACTGTCACTACCATCTACACACCGCCCAGCAACTGTCAATACCATCTATACTGCCACGCCCAGCAGCTTCTGTCACTACCATCTACACCACGCCCAGCAACTGTCATACCATCTACACCACGCCAGCAACAGTCAATACCAAATACACCACGCCCAGCAACTGTCACTAACATCTACACCATGCCCAGCAACTGTCTTTTACCATCTACACCACGCCCAGCAACTGTCACTACCATCTACATCTCGCTAGCAACTGTCATTACCATCTACACCACGCCCAGCAACTGTCACTGCTATCTACACCACGCCCAGCAACTGTCACTACCATCTACACCAAG